GGCTTTTAATGCCAGTTTATTAAGTTACATCTATTAAATACATCAATACATACATTTCATTCACAGAGATTGGAATTGACACAGTAGTGTCTGAAGACATGGGCTGCATACCAGTGAAGTACATATCTAACGACATACAATATGCAGTTTACTTTGGGAGTGTGACGTTTTAACATAAAACATAAAATCAATGAAAGCACATGGGGCTTATCACTAAAACCACACAAACATGTACATTTGTTTAATCTCTACACCCCTGAAACAAACGAGGGGAAAGTTACACATTGGAATGACTTTAAGAATAAAATCATTTGATTAAGTTCAGCTACTTTGTTTACTCGAAACTGTGTGTCTCCTTCCTCCTGAATATATGCACCATGAGAGTGGTACTTGCCTGTCGTGTTCCCTCTTGTCTTATCTCTCCAGCCTCTTTGTAAGTGCTACTATGTGAATGATCAAAAAACACACACAAAAAACCCCAAAACTGATTCATGCATGAAATGGAAAGACTGCTGGGCTCGCAGTTAGGAGGTATGGATTCTAGTCTCAACACTGCTACTAGCTACTGTCTGGCATTGGGCTGTTTGTAGCATCTTTCTGAGCCCGAAGACATCCTTAAAATGATGTAAGTTAGAGCAGATAAACTCTACTGATTGCATCAGTTCTAAAACTCCATGACAATCTCTATTGGCCAAGATCTCAGAGTTACTTTGTGTTGGATACTCTCCAAACGAGTGGGAAATGGCACCTACTTCCAGGCTGGAAGCCACTGAACTCCACAAGGCCTCCCAGGTTCTTAATGATCAAATAGAACACACAGAAGTTAAACAATGGCATAGTCATAGATTTGGAAAAAAAATCCCTGATATCATTTGGTTCAATCCCTCCTCCTCCCTCAATGAAGAAATGGCTTCTATAAAACCCTTGAGCTAAGCCCTTTGCTTGAATATCTTCAGGGACTGAGAAGTCACTACTAATATCTGGGGATATTCTGGTGTGGGATAGAAAATTTCTTTGGTTATGAAGCCATAAATGGAGACCCTGTACTGCAACTCAGTCGCCCCAATGCCTTCCTCCAGAGACACGTAGAAGAAGTCTCCTCTTTCCTTCTACATCATCCCATTATCTCCTTCCAATTTCTCCGCCTGTCATTAGAATGAATACTATTTTATTTGCTAAGAGCAGATGGTAACTGGATGTGCCTAGTCTTCTGACTCAGATTCACGAAGATGGTATTCTAGCTCTAGATCTGCCATTAACTCCTTGTGTGGCCTGACAAGTAACTTCAGTCTTGGCTGGTATGGTCTTTTCTTCTTAAAGTGGGGTGATGTAAGGAGTTGGGGGCAAATGTGTCTCAGATCTTGGGAAGTTGTAACTATGGTTGTTGGAGTGGAGCAGGGCACAGATGTGACTGCTCTGCCCCATACTCTGTCACCACTGGAGCAAAAGGACTCGGGGGTTAACAGTCCACTGCTTTCTCCTCAGGCCCAGCTGCCAATGTGATGTAATAGCTGTTAATATACAGGCTAGTGATGCACACTTAAATAAACATTCTGCAAAAAATGGCAAAACACTTCCAGGACTCTGGGTCCTAAGAGAGCAAGAAATCTTAGAACAAGAGGGTTCTACATGTGTTTTGCAAGGTGTGGAGTATAAACTACTCTGTCCTGAAGAATTAATCCCCAATGTCACAATCATGGAAACACGACTGGGAAAGGACTTGGGAAATACCTCGCAAGGGAACTTTGGCAGCAGGCATGCCTGTGCACAGGGAGCTGGTTGAACTTTTATAACTCAGCGGAGTTATTGACAAGCACAGAGGTGGAATTTCCTCTGGGGGTGACGTAGCTTAAATTGAAATGGAGCCAAGGGCTTTGGCATGCCTGTTACTGAACTGAACCAGACACTTTTCAGGATGTGAAAGGTGCATCTTTTCACATTCTACTATAGCCGAGTTAAAAGAGTCAGAAATTTTAGTACCTTAAACAATTCTGTTCTCTCACATAGATCTGAACCATGCTAGGGTCCTAATGCTGGTGACCCCATGCATTTTGATCATGACTCCTGGATTTGCTGAGGGACACATGCACCTCTGGGTCATCCATAAAGTTCTAGTATTTTAAAGAATGTTGCTGGCCATACTTGATAATAACTTCTCTCCACATTTGGCTTTGATAATGGATGCCACTATAGAAAACAGTAACTTTGTCTTCTCCCCTTTTATTTATGGAAATATGTCCTTGGGTAGCTATTTAAAAAATCACTTATTGTATACACAAATCATGTTGTTAATGATCATCCTTCACCAAATGGCACCCATTTTCATAATGAGAAAATATCCATGTGCCTAAAGTTAGCTAATTAATTAGCTAATACAACCAAAATAAATGAACAGATCTACAGACAATGGAAGTACTAAGCAGTTAGAATGAACACATCGGAGACTAAAATAATTTATCTTTGTGTCTCCAGGATGAGTGGGTACTCAGTAAATGTGGAATTGATTTGAAGTTAGCCTTTTGCGAGACACTGAACCAGCAAAGCACTTTCCCCCTAAATTAACCATTTTCTGAAGCATGTGCGCATATTCTTTCGGAACATTCTGGCCCTTCGAATGCACTCCTTGTACTCTTTTTAGGGGACTATCACATGGTCTTAAAAAGCATCTCCCACTTGATTTTAAAAACAAGGGCACAAATATTTGCCATGGAAATAATGCCTAGGACTCGAGTCCTACTAGGAATGTTTGACTGGGCCTTTCTGACCAGTAAAAGCTGTATCATAGGACATTTAATAAATTCAATCATGAAAACTTGAGCACAATACATTCTTCAGTAAATGAGCTTAGGATGGGAGCAAAATAAATATGTGGTAGGATCTTTCCAAAGCTTCAAGTCTTTTAGGATAGTAGGAAATTCCAATTTCTTGAATAAACTTCCAAATCCACCAGCTGCCCAATGGAACAGTGGGTGGGTTTGAGGACCCTGGGCACAGGGGTCCTTCTAGTGGAGAAGAGGAGTAGGCCACCCTGGCTTCCTCCATGCAAATTCTTGCCCATTCCCCAGGTCGCTTGGTGCTCTCATGCAGATGCAGACAGAGCATTTTATTTTCTTAATGGGGTGTTAGTTCTGATCGTGGAGCCAGTGAGACTCATTGATGAAACATTCATGATCCACCCATAAATGTTGTACCAGGAGTCGATTGAGGAAACATTCACTAATCAAGCTGGCTTTATAGTTACTGAGAAACCTCTCCGTTCTGCTTTAAGGAAAGGGTAATTCCTCCATCTGAGATGCCCTTTCTCCAAGGCCATCTGTCGTCCGCCCACCTTCTTTCAGAACTCACTTCCTTCATGAAGACGCTTCTGAACCAGGTGGAGGTGACCACACCCTTGTCAGTGCTCCCACTGAGCCCTGTGCTCATTGTTTTGAGAAGCTGAAGGCTTTGGAGCCTTAACCTCCCAACTGAGAAATGGAATTTTTGTTTAATTATAACTCAACAAATATTGGTCAAGTACTGCTGCACCAATCATTGTGCTCAGGAGCCCCGTCACACCCCTCTGTCCTCTGTAGTCTCCTGGCAACTAGGGGAAGAGTTGATTTTGGTGCCAGGTTTGCTTCCAGACCCATTGTGAGGTATCCTCCATAGGGAGCATTTAAAATAGAGTCTGAAGTGCCATGTCACACTGCCATGCTCCCACGTGACACTGACATGCTCTCCTACTTCACCGAATGCTCAAAGTTAACAAGTTTCATCCCCATGGACTCATTTGATACTGGGAAGTAAGTTGGTGGATTCTTGCTTTACAGACAAGCCTCAATGTCCAGCCTCTCCTCCAGGGAAGAAGTCTTAGCTGAGCTGATTAGCTAATTGCATATTTAAATCCCTTAGACTATTTTAAGAGACAAATACCCACATAACACTCTGAGGTTGTGAATCAAAATTCAAAGCGGATCTAGGTTAACTTTTCCAGATTTGGAGATTGACCCTTCCCCCCCCAAGAGAATAAGTCCATTGTCTCCTGACACCAATCAAGTTTGTTGTACAGTTGGTCTAATTAGCTAGAAATCTGTCTTCAAATTTCTTGAGTTACCTAATCAGCTGGACAGTTTACATAGTCAGGAGCGCTCCAGAAATCTTGCTGTCAGATGATAGGTTTTTTAGGCTTGGAGTTAGTCCTTGGTGCATGTTGAGACACATTTGACCAGGAGCCATCTAGTGACATTCATATAAGTTTTTAGTAGAGTCGGACTTGTTCATAGTGTCTTCTGGGTAAAGATAATGCCCAGAACATAACAGGTGCTCAAGAAAACTGTGGTGAATAAATGCTATTGTTGTATTTTTGATATGCACGTGGAACTCATACTTGCTTATTTTGATGCCTGTGTACAAAATAATGGGAAAGGTAGTTTCTCTTATTTGCCATAGATAGCATCATGAAAACCAATTTCTTTTTTTTTGAGGACATTCATGAAAAATATGAAAAATAGCTTCTTTCCTTTTCTTCCTTCTTTCTTTCTTTTTTTTCTTTCTTTCCATGAAACTATGTATTTGGGGAAACTGATTAAGGATTTCTCCTCTGAAAGGTTTACACTGTTTTCTAGGTCTTTGGATTTTATTGAAGGCTCCCGAACTGAAGTGAATGCTTCATAATCAAACTGAACAGCAACTGAGCCCACTGGTGACAACTGTGTAGTAGGAAGCTGTAGAAATGTTCTGAGTAAATCATCCATTCATTTGGTAATGAGTGTACTAATGTTCAGAAATTCACCAATCTTCTAGGCAACCATGGTAATATGTCTGCTTTTTTCTCCCTTTTTCCAATTTGTATTCTCATCAGTAAGGCATATGAAGTGTGGGCTTTTGAGCCCTACATTTCATAGCTAAACCATTGTCTCTGTGGAACGCTTCAAGAAAGCCCCTGATTATAATTACATATGAATGACGAAAATTAGGAACTAGGAGGAGAGGACCTTTACACAGTGACATCTGCCTTGCCCCTATAGCAAGAAGGCTCCAAAGAAGGTTTTATCTTCCTTAGTGTAGTCCACCAAAGAGATGTCACTGACGTTCACCATCAGCTTGTCCCCTTCTTGCAAGGAGAACATGGCTCCTAGATAAATGGGTTGGAACCAGTTGCTACCTATTTCACACACTGTCTTGGTCCCCATTAGGAGCTGAGTGGGTTCGGGGTAGTTCTCCGTTACCTTGGTGATGACCACAATGATGATGTCTGGCTTGTTTGCTCGGCTCCCTTTGCTGATTTCACCACATTTGGATGTGATACCTCGGAATGTGATCTGGGAGTAAACAAAGTAGTCTCCCGACTCTGGGATCACCAGGAATTTATTGGTGTAGTTCATCCGGTTCTTGGTGAAGGCCAAGCCAAGTTCATGTTCCCAATCCAGAACTGGGAACTGATTATTCAAGGGCTGTGTGGACGTTTGTCTCACAACTGCAGAGACAAGAGAGAGGTTTAATTTGCTTGTGTTGGAACTCATGGACTTTGCAACATATGTCTCATTATTATTTTTAAATTTATTTTTATTGTTGACAGTATTACAGATGTCCCCCATTTCCTCCCCTCTATCCCCCTCCACCTGGCCCCTGCCCCACCCCAGGCCTTCACTGCACTATTGTCTGTGTCCATGGATGATGCATATATGTATATAAGTTCTTTGGTTAATCTCTTCCCATCACCATCCCATCCCCATCCCCTCACCTCACCCCTGCCACCTGCCCTCTGAGATCTGTCAGTCTGTTCTTTGTCGCTCTCTTTTAACACTGTGGTCCAAAAACACATGAAACACGGATAGTAATTAATAAGAAATGTACAAGCAGGGAAAATATTGGAACCAGAAATCCAGGATATTTTGGAAATGCTTCTCCAATATTGACAGAGCCAAACTATAAGCCAATGTAATTGACTTGAGGAATGGAAGGGATCAGGGCTCTGGGCTCTGTGGGCCCCATTCCAATCCAGACTCTACAACTCTAGGTTATTAATCAACCAAGTAGGTTCCTCCTCTCTGACTCTCAATTTCCTGTGTATGAATTGGAGATAAAGCTCCCTCATAGTCTTGTTCTGAAGGTCAAGTGAAGGAAAGAGACATGGACATTTTTATCTTGATGACTGGATACAGCATTATTCAATACATATTTATTTTCTTTCCCCAAATAAACTAGCATCTTTCATTTTGACAGATTAAAAAATAAGCCAATTTCATTTTAATTTATTTTTTAATCCTCACCCAAGGACATGTTTTGATTGATTTTTAGAGAGAGAGGAAGGGAGAGAGAGAGAGAGAGAGAGAGAGAGAGAGAGAGGAAGGAAAACATCAATCTGAGAGAATCAATCAATCGGTTGTCTCCCATATGTGCCCTGACCGGGAATTGAACTTGCCACCTTTTGGTATATGGGATGATGCTCCAACCAACTGAGTCATCTGGCCTGGTCAAGCCTATTGCATTTTATATATTTTTATATGTTTTTATGTTTGCATTATTTATATGTATACATCATGTAGAACATATGAATGAATACTTTCATGCAGCATATACCTGTAGCAGAAAAAAATGAATAGAATCAAACAGATTTCAAATAGGATAATCGGCAATAAACTAATACTTTACAGTGAAAATAAAAACATATTTTAATTTCCTACAGCTACTTTTGAAACCCATAGTAATCAACATTATGTACTGTCAGCCACAGTTTTGGAACTAATTATGTTTAAAGAAGCACTTAGCAACCTTCACACCTGGTGGTTGACCGGAAACCTGGCTCCTGGATTTTCCTAAAACATCTTTCCCATTTCTGACTACACTATGGTTTCTTTTGCAACTGTGATACATGTTCAGAATGTGTGTAGTCTCCCCTGGCCCCTCTACTAAGTGGCCTCTGGAGAGTTCTGTTGCTTCTTTGCAAAATCTGTGCAAGGCATTTTTATTAGCCACCTGTGATAGTCTCTACTCCTTTGCAGTAGATTAAAAAAGAAAAAATTCCTCCCAAATGATACAAAAGCAAAAGTCATTTAGTCTCTAGATACAGCAAATTCTGTTAAATTGGCATGCAATTAGCTTTGTCAATATAGCGGCAAGTAGGAGTGTGGGTTGGAAGTATGTTGTATTGGAAACAGTGCAGTTCTGAGAGTCAGCGCATCCTAGTCATGTCACTTGGGATAAGTCAATTTAGTTGCCCAAGCCCCAGTTTCCCCATCTCATTGGGCTAATATGCAGATCAAATAAATCATAGATGTAAGATGCCTACTGCGGTGTCTGAAATGTATTAGAAATTCAGTAGAGCCTAGATTCCTTCACCAATTTCAACTCCCCCAGTCAATATGGCATCTCCATACTCAATTTTTAGGGTTTTCCTGGCCAGCCTTTTCAATCTCACCCATTCTTTATAAGTGAGTGGTAAGTGATGGCAACTTGGCATCTCCCTGATCCTAATCCTTGTTCAGGACTCCCCACAAACAGCTTCTTCTTGAACAGATGTCTTGGGCCCAAGGATATCCCCCTGTGGGTTGCATATTTTTCTTAGAGGTCAGGAGGCATTTTTTTTATGATTTCTTTTTAACTCTGGTTTTTCAATGTGTTTTTAACATCTTTCTGCACTGCTGTGCTCTTTTCTGTCGAGTCATAGAGTTATATACAACTCCAGGTGTGAGATGCCAGGAATTTCCACACTAGACTTGCGGAACTGGCCATCTGGTGATATTATGAGATTGCTCTTAATCTATTCACATCAATGGGAATTCTTTGGAAATATCTTTCTGAGTGTAAATGTACAATAACTTCATTTTGCATAGGGCACAGATGGACTCGATATATTGGCAACTCAGGGTCATTCATCTTTGACCAGATTTAGAATTATGAGAGTGTCAGAGTCTGAGGAAAACCAGATTGGAATGACTGCATGAGTGAAAGAGAGAAACAGTAGAGAAAGGAAGAGGGCTGATAGAATCTGAAAGAAAATACCCAAGAAACGTGGGCTTTTGGGTCCCTCAAGGAAGGAAGACATCTGAAAACCCTTGACTGAGAGGAGGAGTCTGTTACTAAAGGGGTGTCATTTCTAGTTTGAAACCATTTGAATGAGTTTTGGTAAACGCTGAAAGAAATCTCAGGCCCATGGCCTCCTGGAAAGAACACCGAGGAGAATTACCTGTCAGGTGTGCCCTTGGCTTATCTCCACTAGCTCTGGGAGGTGCGTCTGTAAAGAAAGGAGAAAAATGCTTTGTGTGAGTCAGAGGGTGACTGGAGTGAACACAACATTTGGGGAGTTGCATGATGCCTGCAACTGGAGAGAAATTATTCCTCTTCTCCAGCTTGGTCCAGTTCCCCTCTTTGGAAGTTTTTTTGTTGTTTTGTTTGTTTTTTGGTGTTTTTGTTTTTTGCAGTAACAGGGGAGACTCAGAAGAAAGTCTTAAGCATAAATGAATCTTGGCTTCATGACTTTGGACAAGTTATCTAATCTATCTCAGACTTTGTTTTATCATCTCTAAGATGGGCACATTAATTCCTACCGTGGATGGAGAGTGTTCAGAATGATTCCTGGCATATGATGGATGGGTGCTCAATAAAGCTCACCTTGCCTCTTGTGTCCTCCTCCTGCTTCTGTGGGAGTGAATTGTTCTTTTGCCTTTTTCATGGTCCCTTTAACCATATCCACTGAGGTATCTAATGGCCTAAGAGAGTGGGGTGGAAACCACTCTGTAGCTGTATGACCTTGTCAGGTCCCTTTGCCTTTCTGGTCCTCTGTTTCTCTGTCAGCTAGCTCTCCAGAAGACCTCACTTTTTGGGGGTTTTAGAAATGATTATATTGGACAAGTTTGTTTTAACTGCAGTGGTAATGATAATATTATTGATGTTAAAAAGGAAAAATCAGTGTATCCTTTTGATGTGGTAGGCATTGTTCTACTATCTTTATGGGAATTAACTAATTTAATCTACACAAACCCTGCGGGTGGGTACTATCATAACCATTTTTATAGGTCAATAAAATGAGACAGAGATGGGTGAAATGATTTGCCCAAAGGCCATCAATCACAGGCCCTGCACTTAGCCACGGCATCATTTTGCCTTCTTAGTGGCTGGGGAGGCCCCTCACTTCTCCTCTGGGTTTGCATCCCTCTGAATCCCCTATATATTAAGAACTACTGGATATGTTCTTGTTCCCCACAAGAAAGGCATCAAATATGAATATACTTACAAGCTCGCTGATGTGAAGGTCCAAATTCCTGTGCTTTTGGAGTCTGTTGGGAAAGAAAGATATGGTTCAGACCATCTGTGGTCCTTCTGACCCCAACATCCACACAGCTGTCGAAAGCATGGGTGGGATTAAGATGCTGCTGCTACCCCTCCTAGGCACCCTGAGATGAGGGAAATGGGCAGAATATTTGGTCCATAGGAATCTTGCACCCAAGCTCCCCCCTTTTCTCCTCAAGTACTAATAATCTTTCTCTCTCTTATGCTTGTCTCAAAGGTCAACTTAAAGGTTCTGTCCTGAGAGTTTTTCCTGTTCTATTCTAGGGCACTCCAACATCTTGTCAATGGTTCTACTATTTTAACAAATAATGACACTTGATTCATTTTCTTTTTTACACCACAATTTGGAAATTGAAACTATTTTTTAAAAAATGATACCAAAAAAGAAATAATCACTATGTTCTCCTTCTCCTTAGTCTCTTTCTTGTTTCCTTGTAATGCATGATGACTTTTTCTTTTTCACTAAATTTTTAAAAAAGTATATTTTATTGATTTCAGAGAGGAAAGGAGAAGGAGAGAGAGACAGAAGCATCAATGAGAGAGAAACATTGATTGGCTGCCTCCTGCAAACCCCACACTGGGGATCGAGCCCACAACCCTGGCATGTGCCCTGACCGGGAATCGAACTGTGACCTCTTGGTTCATAGGTTGACGCTCAACCACTGAGCCATACCGGCTGGGTCATGATGTCTTTTTCTTCATTGCAATCCCAGTTTGTGAGCCATTTCAGAATCCACACGGTAATGGGAGAAGAACTGCTTTGGAGGCAGACAGACCTGGACTTGGATCCCAATTCCACCATTTATTAACAATATATTCTTGAGCAGGAAGACTCTTTTCTCCTCTGAGCTTTGTGGTCCTCATTTGTAAAATGGGAATATTAACATCCATAGTCCTAGATAACTCCCAGGTTTGAGATAAGGATCAACTCAGATGAGCAAAATAAACTAACAAAATAGAAACAGATTCATAGGTACAGAGAATAGACTGAGAGTGTCATAGAGCTGGGTGAAAAAGGTGAATGGATTAAGCAAAACAAACAAACAAACAAACAAACAAAACAACAACAACAACAAAATCACCCACAAAAAAATCCCCTCAGACACAGACAACACTATGGTGATTACCAAGGGAAATTGGGGGTGTGGGGAAGTAGAAGAGGGTAAAGGGATAAATGGTGACAGTAAGAAACTTGACTTGGGGTGGTGAACACACAATACAATGTACAGATGATGTGTTATAGAACTGTACACTTGAAATCTATCTCATTTTATTAACCAATGTCATCCCAATAAATTCAATACATTAAAAAAAAGAAAAGAAAATGTATTAGTGCAAAGAAGACACGGAAACGGAAGGAACCACCACTCACGTGCCAGAATAGAAAGCTCATGAGCAAAACTAAGCTTTTTGCTTAGGAATAAGATTACCATCTTACATTTTACAATATTTCCAAAGAATCCTCTCTGATATGATTTTGACTCAACCCAGGGCCTTCTGATTTGGTTTTCATAATTGTTCAGTCCCCAACTGTAATCCTCATGGATACTTGATCAGTTTTAAATCTTAACATGCATACGTGGGTGTGAGTATACTCTTGTGAATGAGGAATTGTGTGTCTGTGCGAGTATGAGAGAAGATAGCTCCATTGGTGGGAAAGAGTTTTTGCACCTGTGTATCTAAAGTGTCTGTGGTGTGGTGGTCTGTGCATGGCTATCTCTACATGCATATATGTGTGGCCATGTGGGAGTAGCCATGCTATTTCTCAGGCTAGGCCTGTGAGCAGTTCTGTGATTCTGTTGGAACCCAGATTGTCAGGCTCTTTTTGCTTTCAAGCCACATGACCTAGCCTCTACTGGAAGCTCTCTTGAGGACAAAGATCTTGGCTTTGACAAATTGATTTCATGGTCACTCCCTTTTCTCTGTTTCCTAATTCTGTTAATGGTGCTACTATTGCTTTCCCTTAGTTATCAGGCCTAAAATTGGCTTCTTTCTTCTTCCATAAACCAAACTGTCATTTCTATTTTGCAGTTTTTCTCTTTCTTGAATCCATCCACATAAGGCCTCATCATACTGCTTGCCTGGATTCTTCCAAGAGCCTCCTACCAGATCTCTCTTGCATCCGTTTTATCCTTTTCCCTAACCCATCTCCTAGCCTGTCTTCAGAGGGCTTTTTCTAAAGCATCACATTATCTTGGAATTTAAAGTTCAAATTTACCATCCTAGTACCAGAGGTGGGGGAATCGGGAAATTACCCCAGAACTGAGTCTTACAGGACCCACAGGTATTAGTCTGGTGGTAAAAGGTGATAACCATTCCAGACCAGGCCAACGGCTGTGCAAGAGTAAGGAGGCCCAACAACTCATGGGAACAGTTGGGAAACTGCAAGGATTTCTGCCACCAGATGAACACATTAGATACATTTGCATAGGGTCATGAGTACAGTGGTCTTTGAAAACCTATGCCCAATTGATGTGACTACTTGCCCCGCATCAGTAACTTTGATGGGGTTGGGAGGTGGAGAAGCAGCCTAGAAATGAGCTTATTTTGTAGCCTGTTTCCTTAGTTGCTATTGACAGAGCTGCTAAAGAATCAGTCCTTTGGCAAGGCAGAAAACTGAAGGTGGGGTTCTCAGAGAGAATGAGGGAGAGCTTGGTTGCATCTCCTTGTGCCTGGAATGGTACTTTCCCTGACTGGCCTTCTTCGACTCATTCATTCTGCTAAGAAATCTTCTCCAACATCTGCTTATTTTTGGCTAAGCAACACCCAGCTAAGAGTTTGGAGCATCCCTTTTGGCTCATAGAACCCTTGTCATTTACATGTATTTGGGATGTGAGCACATTTTTCTATTTGCTCTGATGAATTTCTATAACTTGGGAACACATTTTATTTTCATATATGGATGGATGTGTGTGCATTTTAGTGGCCTCAGAATGCCACTACATGTCTGGAGGCTGTGATAGTGCCAGTTGGCAGGTGTTGAAGAACACAACATCCCCAGAGTCCCCAAGAAGAACAGCAGCTGGGATTCTTTTCCTGAGAACAGCACGGAAAGCCTCCCGTTGCTGTTTCTCTTAGTAATGACTCTCTCATGAGAGGAAGATTATTGCAACAGAAGCGAATGAAGAGGAGATTTGAGAGAAGAAATAGTAGTTTATTTGGGGAAAGGTTTGTGCATTTGAGTTGGTTGGCTCAATGCCTGGTCTCCAGATGGTTGTTGGTGACACCAGGCCAATAAAATGTCTATTGTTGCCCAAACCTGACTCATCTCCATTGCTTTTGGGTTCCCCTGGGGAACCCAGGAGATGGTGACTCCCGAAGGTCAGTGCAACATTGACTTCCAAATCTGTATAGACACAGTATTCAAGAGCACCCCAGGAGAATGTGATTTATTTCCCGTTCAAGGCCTTCATAAACCACTGGCTAGGAACCAGGACCCCATCTTAGTTCCCTTCCTCTCTCATTTATCACTCTCTAGGGATATTACTTATTTGACTGTTATTGCTTTTCTCTCTCCAGTAGAAGTCAAGTTGCATGCAGACAAGGACCCGGTCTGTCTGTCTTGCTTACCACTATATTCCTGGTGCCTCGGACAGTGCCTGGCACTCTCACTGGATTATCCATGTTGGGAAAATATGCTGGTGCTTGGGCATCAAAAAGACAAGCAGAAAAGAGAGCAGAGGATGGAGGAAGGCTCAGCTTTAGTGACTTCAGCCAAAAAACTAGGAAAGAGAACTTTTTATTTTAGAATGCATGCAAAGTTTTGAATTTTTGTTTACATTTAAAAACTTTAATTATGTAGCAGTAGGTAGCCAAAATCTTTCAGGACTGGGGCCTCTATGTGCTTTCATCAGGCTCTGCTTGGAGTATAGCCATGGCTCTAGAAATGTTTGTTGAAAGTTGGGAGCTTTGGTCAGAGTCAGAGCCAGGAAAGGCCGGTATGTCCAGTGTGTATGCCCATGGGCACACATGTTAATGAGGTAGGGGAAGCCTGCCACCACCACCATTTATTAGCCTTGGCAAAGTACGCGGGCTTTTCACCCCATAGTTTCCATAGGTCGGGGAATTTTATTTGGTTTTCTTTCTTTGTTTCTTCTAAAAAAAAAATGTTTGTTTTGGTATGTTGATTGGTAATCTCTAACTCAAATTAATCATGACCTATTACTATAGGCATTTTTGGGACTACTCTAATCCTTCAAATACGAGAGAAGGAGGATGGAGGAAAGGAGGAAACTGCTCTCTAGCTGAGTGTTTAATGGGTGCCAAGCCCCATGTTGGGCATTTATGTTTGTTCCTCATCTAATACTCCAGCTGCTCTCAAGGGAGTGTATCACCTTTAAAAAATGTTTTATTGATTTCAGAGAGAGGAAGGGAGAGGGAGGGAGAGAAGAGAGAGAGAGAGAGAGAGAGAGAGAGAGACCGATGGACCAATAATGAGAGAGAATCATCGATCAGCTGCCCCCTGCATGCCCCCTATTGGTGATCGAGCCCGCAACCTGGGCATATGCTCTGACAGGGAATTGAACCTGGACCTTCTGGTTCATGGATCGATGCTCAACCACTGAGCAACACCAGCCAAGCTGTATCACCTTTTTATAGCCTTTGAAGCCAAAGGTCAAAAAATAAGTGGAGGGTCTGGTATCTGGACCTTTAGACCAAGTACAGACCCTGGCACATATCAGGAGCCCCACAAACCTTAGCTGAGCACACACAATGGAAGATCGAACCTGAAGCAAGATGGCCTTTGAGATGATCTTGGCATTTACCGGAAAAATCCCTTGAGTATATTTTAACTAATTACCTCTTTGGCCTTTCTCCCAGGTTTTGTAGTCAGTGTATAGTATACTCAAAAATGGAAGAGCTATCCATTGCATATTTTGTAGTCACTGTATAGTTTACTTAAAAACGGAAGAGATATCCATTGCTTGCCCTCATAAATGCCGCAGGTGGAAAGGTCTAAGTGTTTTATGACCCATAATATCCTCCC